GAGACGATACTTGCGTAACATTAGATGCGAACCATATTTGTTTGGGCGTTGTGCCATAGAATGTGATATAAATCGTAGCACTGGACATGAAGTTTGTTTCATTCTCATTGAAAGATTTTAGGCAAGTTAAAATAAAAAAAAATTAGAAGTTATTTCAGTAAAAATAGTGTCATTTAAAGTACTAGCGAAGCTTACCCTCGCGTCGCTCTAGTGTATACTTAGGTGCCTAACAGTAGCCAATGTGTTATTTCAGGTGGCAGCCTATCCGTGTATTAATTGTCATCCAAATCTGTCCAGCCGTTTTTGCGTTAAGGAGTAACAAACATCTAGAATTTATTGCATTCGTAATTTGATTTTAGTGAGTAATCCTTACTTAAATCAGTGCACTAAGTAACGTAAGTAAAATGATGAGTCGATAATTTCTTATGTCTGAACTTTAAGCTTACACCTAACGATTATGTTAGCCTTTTTTGGGTAGTGGTAGTTTAAAGCAAGAAATGTCACTTAAATGAGGTAATATTATTTTTTTTTGGTCAATGGCTTCAAAGCGTACAAGTTAAGCACATATTACTTTGCCAATGTCACGTAGAATGGAGAAGACAGTAGGAAAATTATTAGATAATCTTAATATATGATATGTGTAATTTAAGCAGTCTAATATTAACACAATATTTTCAATTTTAAGAAATCTTCATGTATGTTTAAAATATGCTTTTTTCAACTAAAAAAGGTAACCGGTGATAGTTTCCTAACGGACTGACTACTCTGACGCTTACATTAAATTGACAATTCAAAGACACTTGTAATAAGTCTAATTGAATAAATTAGACTTATAACAAGTGCTTTTATTTCATTTATCCCGACTTCAAAATCACTTGAAGGCCTAGACTGGCTATTGTAATTACTTCTTTTCATAAAAATAATTATAAAAGTCGATACACAATTAGCAAATATCTGACCTTTTTTTTGAAGTCGGACAGAAATATCTAAGTTCTATTTCTGTCAAGTAATATGTAATCATGCTCTTTGCTCGAATTGGCCTTTTACGTTTTTTAGATACATTCTATAACAAATATGTCTGTCTATCAAAAGAAACAGGTTCACAAGACTACCAGTAAACTAGCCCGCATTCAATCTGCCACCTGCATTTTACATCGCTCCATTTTAGCCAAGATATTGATACTTGAAGGTCATGAAATGATGTCAAAATATCAATGTCGATATTTGATCTGTCGGTTCAATTCCAAGGTCTTAAACTACGAGTATGATAGCACAAAATAGTGATGTGAAAACGAGTGGTGAACCGTGACGTGAGGCAAATCGTGAGGCAAGCGTGGCGCAACACTACTTTACGTATAAGTTCACTTTCATTTGTTTTGTTTGAGATTCCATGATGGATAGTTTATGTAGAAATATAAAACTTTTTATGATAAAGTTTCTTGTATAATGTAATAAAATATTTGGATATGATAAATAACTATAGGTAAATAGATGTTGTAGTGTTTTCGGAAATATGTCCATATATGGAATATGGAAATAGGATGACATAGGTAGACCGTGGGTTAGAACCTAGTCGAGGCAAGTGATATTTATTACCTGTTTATTTGTACATAATAGCAGTTTATTATTTATTAACTGCTTATTTATTATTAGTTATTAAATATTCCTACTAATATTGTAAATGCGAAAGTTTGTGAGGATGTATGGATGTCTGGGTGTACAGACGTATGGATATTTGTTACTCTTTCACGTAAAAACTACTCAATGGATTTTAATGAAACTTTACAATAATATATCTCATATATTAGAATAACACGTAGGCCACTTTTTATTCCAAAAAATTGTACGGTTCCCGTGCGATGGTTTTTTTTCGCTAATCCTTTATAAAACATGATACTCATAAATATATTACTGTATAGAGCAAAATTATTGTAAGACACACGTTTTTGCTTAGAAATTAATGTTTTACTTTTTCCTTTTTTTCTATATTACATAACCGATCATAATAATAGCAGTATATTGTTTAATCGTCAACATTATCTTTTACGATACAAAAGCCCGATTCTTCTCTGTTACAAATGCAAAGCATTTACAAAGTATGAATTTCACGAAAAAAATGTTGCTTAAAAACTAACAATTAATACTTAAAATGCTTCCACGATTGCTATATTTATTCATAGTAATGTATAATCAAGTTTGTGAAGTTGATTTATTTACCAGAAATAATTTATTTAGATACAAAAACTAAGGAAATAACTGCGTCTCACAGGTAATTTATTTACATAAGTGATTCACTTCATTAGATGCGTAATTGTACACGGCCCACGGTATTTTATTTTGTACGAATAACTAACAACTACCCGCAGTTTCACTCACAAATATGTATTTACTTCTCATTTATTTATTTATTTAAACACTTTATTGCACCTTAATTTATAATATTAGTAGTTCAAATATTAAGTGATAACATAAGTACAAAACTTCTATCTCTTATTGTGAAGGTTTTTGCAGGATAAAAATTACCTTATACCTATTACGCGTAGGTAATTCTTATGAAAATCCCTTTAAAGTGATTTTAGCCATTCCGAAGATTAGCTTAGACGAACAGACATAAATATTTTAAATAATACATACTTACATACAAACGGATGATAATAGTGCTATATATAATTATTGAATAATAAATCATATTCCTGTACACAAAATGATGAAACAACATTAACATTTTCGGCCATATATGAAATCTAATCATCCATTGTTCCACCCACTTGTCATCTCAAATTTCAATTAATGTTACTGGTAGTGTGACATCAAACATATGTTTTATACAGGAAGATAACCAAGGCCTGATTTTAAATTAACATATTTGTTCTAAAACGAATAACTTATATGTTACTAAACCAAATGTAGTATAACATTTAGTAGGTAGAACTCCGTGGAATAAAGGCTTATATGAAAATTTTATTTTTACTTATATTTTTTTTGGATATCATATTTTTTTGGTGTAATAAGTTTATCACGTCAAGTCAGGTCATGGTCACGAACTTGAACAATAGTTAATTACATTTAAAAAGTTATGCACCAAACGGGAATGGAACCTGCTATCCTGTTTCATGACTATTATTCATAGCTATGCTAGTATTTGGCAAGTCTATTTTATAGGTTAATATAACTCTTTTGTTAATATTATATACCTACGTAAGTTTATTGCCAAAAAAATTACAAAAGTCACATTTTATTACGGCTAACTATCGGGTAAGCCACAATAAAATCTTAAACTCAGGTGGACGTAAACATACGTATACGAAATTTTCCTTATAATTAATTTTATAATATAATTTCTTAAACACGGTAATAAAATTGAATTATTTATATACCATATTGAAGATATAAAGCCAAGTTTATTTGTTTGTTTAGCGTCAGAGATCTAGTCTGATGTCATCCTCTCAGAATGATAGGATATTTGATAGATAGGTTTTCATTTATTAGTTACCTACATTAGTCATTTTCTTTCCATTTAAATATATAACTTTGCTCACCGCTCCAAAAATAATAATAATATGTACTTATGTTTTTGGCTCTTTTAAACGTCCCTTTGCTGGGCAAGGAGCTCCTCTCAATACAAAGGGGATCAATGTTGCTGGCCAAGTGAAGGTTGGCGGACTGCACATCCTTCGAAAACTTGCTAGGTTGTAAAACAAAATGTTCCCTCACGATGTTTTCCTTCACCGTAAGACAAGTGGTAATCATGTTAGAAATGATTCGCACTTGAAAATATCGGGGTTGCGAAATATCAGACATAAAAATATCACACAAGCATTTAAAATAAATGATAATTATGTAAAAATAAAATACGAAGTATTAAGAAGTGTTTATAATTTAAAAAAATATATACAGGCAAACATAAAGCTTCCTCCTTTTTGGGATGTTGGTTAAAATGGCTATGATACTAAATCACTGGACAAAGACTGCCATAAATCATAAATCGTCTACATTGTATCTCCCCCATAGTGCAAGGTGAACATGTTTCCACTATTTACAAAAAAATATTCGCGTGCAATAATCGATAAAATCGTATGATCTGTTCTTATATAATAACAGAATTAAAATAAAAACTATTTTCGAAGTCGGTGCCAGCCGATGCAAAGAAAATTTAATATATTTCGATACGTAAAACACATATTTAGCTATGAGATATTCATAATATCTTAAAATATTGTTGGCTGGCACCGACTTCGAAAATATCTGATTAGGTATCTATTCTAAATGAAAACCTCCGTTTAGTTATTTTTTGCATTTTAGTGCCTGGAAGTCGTTTATATTTTTTTTTTTCAAGTTTTTTTGTCCATATTTAGTGTAGACGTAATAAGCAGGTAATTTGTTAGAATAAGTTTTTTAATAGCATGTTCGATTAAGCAATTTGTTTAAAAAAATAATTTATTTGTTGATTTAAAAAAACCGCTCGAACGATTTCGATAAAATTTATATGGGACCACCTGGGATGTATACCCTTTGAAACTAAAAAAATCCAAATCGGTTCAGGCGTCTTCGAGTAATCGGTGAACATACATAAAAAAAAGGTTCCGACGAATTGAGAACCTTCTCGTTTTTTGGGAAGTCGGTTAATTACACAAAAAAATTGAAACAAGATGAGGCAATAACATATTAGAATGTATTTAAAGACACACCTAGACACACCTATATGTTTTATACTTGCCGCAACACATACATACAGGTCAAACACATAACCCTCCTTTTGAGCTTTACAGTCGGGTTAAGACGTTATTAGTATTGTGGTAGAAGCAAAACGGAAAAGTTGTGATTTATGATCTTAACAAATAGAGTTATACATAAATAACAAATATGCCAATGAATAGTTTTGTAATTTAAAGCGTATAGTTACTTTATTATGTTGTAACATTTAATGCTTCTTGCGATATATCGTAAAGATTTGCTCTCATTTGATGTACTACATACAAGTACTAATTGTAATTGATGAAATGGCCAAATTCTTATTTAATGGAAAAGTAAGGTGAGTATAATTAAGTAATATTTAAGTTAAATTTTAAATAATCGTTTTTTTTTAGTTCCCGATGTTTCGAATGAGAGTCTAATGTTTTAGACATCTCAATATAGGTTATAATAGTGCAGACAGTACCTACACACAAAATAATACTATGACTTCAAAAATACAAAAATGGCACCAAAGTACCGTACAAGCTTCATCTCACTGCCCATTTCCTAATTACTTGGGGTCGGCGCAGTACATCTTTCGTACTGCTGGTAGGATTTGACAAAAATATCACGACCGGCCGCCTTACAAAACCAAAGTAAGACCAAGGTACCTTATAATACCTTACAATATTTATGAATTTTAAACATTTTTATAATTGTAATAAGTCTTCAACTATAAGACCAAAAAACTAATTAAAAAGCAAGTTTTAAGGATAAATCCTATTAGTCATTAAAGACCTACTATCATCTTGGCTCGATCATCGGATCTGAATCGGAAAATAATAGTACTGTTTTCCGAATATTACATACAAACTTTCAAATAGACACAACAATTAGAAGTAGGATAAATTGATATCAAGATTTGATTACATAGTGACAAGTGACGCTAGTAAAACCCATACTAATATTATAAATGTGAAAGTGTGTTTATTTGTTTGTTTATCCTTCTTTCACGTCGAAATAGAGTAACGGATTGGCGTGGTTTTCTATGTGAAGATAGTTGAAGGGCTGGAGAGTGACATAGGGTACTTTCTACCGCGGGAGATTATCTCATTCCCACGGGCAAACACGTTATAATACAATCCAAAAAATATTTATGATCAGAATTACTTGAAACTTGGCATTAATGCTCTTCAATATAAAAAATAAATAAACGGGGGTTTTTATTTAGAATAGATACCTAATCAGATATTTTCGAAGTCGGTGCCAGCCGATGCAAACCAAATCTAATATATTTCGATACGTAAAACACATATTTACCTATTAGATATTCATATCTTAAAATATTGTTGGCTGGCACCGACTTCGAAAATATCTAATTAGGTATCTATTCTAAATAAAAACCCCCGTTTAGTTATTTTTTACATTTTAGTGCCTGGAAGTCGGTTTTTTTTAAGTTTTTATTTGTCCATTTTTAGTGTAACGTAATAAGCAGGTAATTTGTTAGAAGAAAGTTTTTTAATAACATGTTAGATTAAGCAGTTTATTTAACAAAATAATTTACTTGTTGATTTTAAAAATACCGCTTGACCGATTTCTATAAAATTTATATGGGTTTATTTATATGGGACCAAAAAAAATTCTAGTAGATTAAAATCCTTTCGAAATATGTTCAGACGGAGCGTTGAAGCGCGACTAAGCAGTGATTCTATCAATTCTAAAAATGTAAAAGAAATGTTCAATGTACGCATTAGACTTAATTAATTATTATTACATAATAAGTACTAACTTTTTTATTACCTGTTACTTCATTATAAAATATTAGGCATTATGTTTAGTTAGGTAACTTACGTTTTTATACATAACTATTGACTCACCCTCGCTCCGCTCGGGTTCGTCCCTAGATACGTTTTACAGTTTAGCATATACTTCTCAGAGATGAGATATCTTCCCGCAGTAAAAAATATCCTAAATGTTGGCCCAGATAACCAGCTATCATCATACCACATTTCATCAAAATCCCTCCAGCGGTTTTTCCGTTATACGGTAACAGGCAGACAGACAGACAGACAGACAGACAAACAGACAGACAGACAAAAAATCTAAAAACAATAGCATTCGGCCTCTGTAACTATAATAATGTGTATTTCAATAAGATTTTCCAAAAAATATTGAATGTTTAAGCTAATAATATGTTTAGGCTAATAATATTAATAATTCAACTTAGTAACAATTTTATTATATGTACCTATAGATTAGTTAATTATACATATTTTAATTCCAATTTTTTATTTTATTCTATTTTTTATAGGCAGTATTTCGAATTTTTCACATCAAATTATCAGCAATTGTTAGGATTTACCTAAAAAAATAACAAGAAATCTCACAGCGTAACGCCTTGAGAATTCTATTTAGACTAATTAACTAATTACAACATGTTCACAGCTTATTTATTAAAATTTGCATAAAAAAATGTAATTTACATACAAAAATAAATAGTGTCGACACTCATCGCTCAAATATTTTTTTGGCCGACTTAAAAAAGGCATAAGCAATTTGCAACTTTTCGCCTATATTTTTTGTTTACTAAAGAACTCGCTGGTATTATTATAGTTGTGCTACTAGATATAAATACAAATTATTTTCCACCGATTTTCATATTTTTTTATGAATACTCATAAAAAATCATAAGTTATAAAAAAAAATCTCAACTGAGTGTAAGATTTTTGAATCAATTACCTTTATTTGTTGAAAGACAAAAAGTCCTTATCGCTATCATGAGCTGTTGTACTACACAGAATCTAATATATACATGTGTCTAAAAGCGGTCTATGTGCTACTACGAGTATAGATCATAGTTTATTTGTGTACTTTTCATCCGAGTCCGTTCAGCCATTCATCGTAAAGAAGTATTAAAGCGTGTATCGCTTACAAACTTACGCATTTATAATAATAACTAGCAGAACCCGCGGCTTCGCTCACGCTAATACTACAAAAAATCCCTAATAAGGTAGTTTCATATTAAATTTCATCCCCTATTTTACCCCCTTATAGGATGAATTTCGAAAAATGCTAAAACACGTATTTATTTAATTCTATTGAAGAGTATTAATTAATTTTTGGATTGTATTATAACGTGTTTTCCCGTGTGAAAGAGATAAACTCCCGCGATAAAAAGTCTAAAAACTATCTCCACACAAAAAATCACGCCAATCCGTCTCTCCGTTTCGATGTGAAAGAAGCACAAATAAACACACAAACGCACTTTCACATTTATAATATTAAATATGGAAGTATGGATGTGACTATTTAAACAAAATTTTGCTTCATAATACTCGTAGAACATCCAAAAATCTTACCAACTATCCTGCTGGAACCGCTTTCTCTGGGTATAAAAAAATTACCTGTTCTTTTGTTGAACTCATAACTACACTAAATCCGATGTCAAAGCTCTGAAAAATATTTAGACTTTTTTCTAAAAACTTTTTTTAACGAACTTTTAAGCTGCTTAGGCAATACACGAAGGAATTCATTTTTGCATATAAAATAGTAAAAATAGGAATTTGACATATTTTATAGATAAATTTAGACGATACGTTTGGATCAGTTTGTAGTGACCCTACTTGCTGTGCCACCACCGGTCGTGGGTTCGAGTCCCGTTGGGGGCATTCATTTGTGAGAGGTGCACGAATGTTTGTACTCCAGTCATGGTTGTTTATGTTTATCTGGTATCCATAACGCAAGCCTCGTAGCTTACCATGGAACTACATAGATGGTGCTGCGTGGTAATGTCCCAACATATTTATTATATTTATAAATTATTACGGCTATTGAACTCTTTCACCTTGCATGAGGTTCTACCGCTTTTGCCTTTTCGAATGACGTAGCTGCATATTTACAATAGGTTGTGGCACCACAATTTAGTAAAGGTCGCCTTGAGGTCGTCATTCGATTACATTCGAATTACCTCATTCCTTTCTAGATTTTTTATTTTGAAAGTTATTAAAATTGCTGCAAACTGCAAAGATACATTCGGTTTATCATGTTTTATAAAATGTGATTAGTTGGACTCATGCGATTTTTTCGCTGTGTTGATAGAGGCGCTTTTTGCATGAAAATTAACGGAAATATTTTTCACTAAACACAAAAAAATCCATCTCACGGGAACCGTACATTTTTCCAAGATAAAAAGTAACCTATGTGTTATTTCAGACTATAATCTATCTTTGTGCCAAATGTCATCTGGATCCGTTCAGCCGTTCTCTCGTGATTGAGTAACAAACATCCATACTCACAAACTTTCACATTTATAATAGAATTAAAATTATTATTCAAAATTAATATAATGTTAATATGGTTAAAGTAAATTAAGGTATGTAAAGTGTCTGTCTATACAGATAAATAAAATTGAAGTGTCTATTTGTAATGTCAAAATAACAGCGTTTTACTAAATGCATATGAAATTATATAACGGTACTTATAAGAAAAACTCAATTTTTTAAATGTTTGTGTGTCTGTCTGTTTGTTCCGGATAATCTCTGAAACGGCTGGACTGATTTGGACGGGACTTTCACTGGAAGATAGCTGATGTTATAGAGAGTAACATAGGCTAATTTTTTTTAGAAAAAGAATTAGGGTTCCGCTCAAAAAAATTTACAATGTAATCATTGTTGCTTGACGGGAGAAATAGATAAGGGGGTGGTAACCATCCAGTCGGACTTCTCAGGCCTGATAGAGTCCTACCACTGGTAGAGAGTCTTACCACCAGTAGGCCACCGGCTTTTTCTAATTCTAATGAATGTACTCGTAATAATCCCGGGTTCTCATAGATTTGGAATGATATTAAATATATAATTAAATAGGAATATTTTAAAAACAAAATTTGCACATATAGTAGGTATCGATGCGTATTAATCTATCAGCTATAAAATATTCTAAAGAATAGAATTAATAAAACAACAATAATTATTTATTCGAAACATGAAAAGATAATACCTATCTAAAACAACTAACACGCTTAACTTGCCGTGATCGTGATGTCATCTTCCAGTAAAACTCATCTCATATAGGTATAGTAATAAATAAAAACACGCCAAGTATAAATATAACCTCTAATATTCTAGGTTCTTTAGCTTTCTTGGAAATTGATAATAATTTATGTGGCAAATTTTAGATTGAATTTTTGAGTACTTATGTTAATTTTTAATATCTCATGAAAAAAAGGTCGATTGTTTCGAACTAAACATGTACGCCGTCTTCTATATCATTATTTTAAATAATTACTGTACATTTTTATTCAGCTCTTTTTTAACCTCCCACTGCTGGGTACGGGCCTCCCTTTAATACGAGAGAGATCTGGCCATAGTCCACCACGCTGGCCAAGTGCGGTTGGCGGACTTCACATGTCTTTCGAAAACTTGCTAGGCTCTCTCAGACATGCGGGTTTCCTCACATCGATGTTCTTCACCTTAAGGCAAGTGGTAATCATATTAGAAATGATTCGCACTTGAAAACATCAGAGCTGTGAAACCCGGGATTTGAACCCGCTTCACTTGGTTTCCCATGCGACCGCGTTACCACTGGACTACCACTGCCTTAATTTACATTTAGTATTATACATTAAATATATGGGATCATCCTTGATGTATTTAACCTAGTGATTAAAGAAAATATCCAAATAATCATGACAATTAGTTTACATTCAGCGAAAATATTACAAAACATCCAATAAAAACTATTACTCGAATATAAAACCCATATTTTATGTAGAGAAGAAAACAATAAACAAGCTAGAACATTAATGATTCTTTTGCCAATGCGGTTTAATTTTAACTCGTAGTTTTATTTTCTTAAAGTCAGGTTAAAATACGAACAAACAGAAAAACTACGAGTTAAAATTGGTGGTCACGAAACTGAAAATGACAAATAATTTTATAATATCTTGGAAAAAATGCGGAACCCAAAAATAATCATGCGCAGTTTGTTGGTCGTATTACGTTCTAATGATAGATATAAACAATAAAAAGGACATGATTCCTTTAAATCGTTTAGTTGTGCTCATATTTCGAATAGAGTGAATAAGGTTAGTTTATTACCATTAAAATTTATAAATTTCTGATTTGTTTGAAGTAGCTTTTTAGAAAACTTTGACTTTTAAATGTTTATATTGTACTACTTTTCGACCGCGAATTCTTTCTCTTATTATGTCTATACAAAATATGTAGGTATGTTACTAAGTTTTTTATTAATAAGAAGTTTAATAAGTAAACGATTTTACGGAATCGATTAAACACCTTCATTTCCTGCAATCGATGTCGTAAATAAAAAACCATGAAGAATATGAGGAGTCCGTCCGACCTCTGTATGTAAAAGTTATCCCAAAATTTTTAAAAAGTAATAGTGGGCATAATTATAACAGAGTACTGCGGTCGCTGCATACCAAGAGGGAGGGGGAAATTTCCAGTAGCTCAAATGTGTAATAAGGAAAGTAAAAAAATCGTATTATCGTATTACTAGCGACTCACCCTCGCTCCGCTCGGGTTGGTCCCTACGTACGTTTTGACGTTTAGTATAGATTTCTCAAATATGAGATATTTTTCTGCAGTAAAAAGTATCCTATATGTTGACCCGGATAACCAGCTATCATCATACCAAATTTCATCAAAATCCCTCCAGTAGTTTTTTCTTGATGCGGTAACAGACAAACAGACAGACAAAAATTCTAAAAACTATAGATTCGGCCTCTGTATCGATAATAATGTCTATTTCAATAAGAATTTCCTTAAAATATTTATTGTACAGATTCGGCTTAGCTACAATTTTATTGTATGTATTGATTTTATTGTATGTAAGCAAGTAGTTTAAAATAACTATGTATTAAAGAAAGATACATAATTATTATAGAGTGAATTCAATTTTTCAATTAAGTACTATGTGCTATTCCAGACTGTAATCTACTCTGTGCCAAATTTCATCCCGGTCCGTTAGACTGCTGTTCTAGCGTGAAAGAGTAACAAACATCCATTCATCCATCCTCACAAACTTTCACATATATGTAGGTACATAATATTAGTATAGATAAAGTAATAATTTAAAAAACGTGAGTGTGTGTATACTTATGTGCGCACGTAAGAAGTTATACTTCTTTGGCATAACAGAACAAAAATAGCTAATGATTTCATCCCGTATATCACAACTCTCTGTTTGTAAAAGGAATACAGCTAACTTCATCATGTCGCTTTTTAGCTGTCGGTGTGCGTCTGCATCGTAAAAATTTTACTCCAATATTTTTTTTCAAGCGTGCCAAAAGAAGTATAACTTCAAAACAATATATTACAGACGTAATAAATATAAGGTGTTATTTAAAATTTATGATTAAATTCTATAAAACATTTATATTTATAGAATAAATATAAATGTTTTATAAAATCACTTCTTCGTATTATATCCGGACGCAAATTAACCTTAGCTTATACGTCGTGACCGTGTGACCCATTGATCGCACTGTGACTATGATGCTGACATCAATTAAAATAACTATTTCTGAACAAACATTAGATTATGTAACATCCATACTAATATTATAAATGTGGAAGTGTGTCTGTCCTTCTTTCACGCTGAAATGGAGTGATGGTTTGGCATGATTTTTGTGTCAACTATCTGTTGAAGGGCTGGAAAGTGACATAAGCTACTTTTTACCGCGGGAGATATATCTCATTTCTACGGGAAACACGTTATAATATAACCCACAAAATTTTCTCATACTTATGTATACTTTAAAGTGTCTATCTAGTCCATCAAAACCCTAGCGAAGTGAAGGTGAGCTGCTAATATGTAAATATAGTATACTAGCATTGCCCGCGACTCCGCCCGCGTTCAGATGACAAAAAAATACCTTAGTATACTCTTATATTGGAGTTTTCGTATTTTTTCACAAAAATGAGATATTTTTCCGGGGTAAAAACTGTCCTATATGTTAACCCGGATAACCAGCTATCACCATACTAAATTTCTTTAAAATCCCTCTAGTAGTTTTTCCGTGATGCGGTAACAGACAGACAGACAAAAATTCTAAAAACTATAGATTCGGCCTCTATATCGATAATAATGTCTATTTCAATAAGATTTCCCAAAAAATATTTAATGTACAGATTCGGCTTAGTAACAATTTTATTAATATGTATAGATTAAAAATATTGTAGTAAATTATAACAATTAGCGACTAACCCTCGTTTTGTTCGGGTCTTAAGGTGGCTTTTAATTTTAAAATTATAGGCAGTGCCACCTTTTGGCAATTTTTATTACTAACAGTAGCCTATAAAATGTGTTTCTTTAGGGCACAGCCTATCCGTGTACTATAATCTTTTCATCCAAATCCGTTTCAGCGTGAAAAATTAACAAACATACACACAGACAAACTGTCGCATTTTTTAATGTTAATTTTTTTAGTTCTCTCTTCCCGCAATAACTTAGCACCAGATCGACGTAATTTTTTGTGCAGTGGTGAATGGTTGTAATCTGGAGAGGCATTTAGACTATTGCTAGGGATGTGAATGCTAAATATTCTTAGGAACGCTGATATAATAATAAATCTAGAACTTAGCATTTTTAGTTATCCCAAGTTATCATACCGCATGCACACCGTGACGCAAGAAGTAAAGGTCGTGCGAACAAGTTTGTAGTTGCGTCTTCTACATTCCTTTACCTCTACTATTTAATATATTCGACACTCGCTAACGAATGCGTAGAGACAAAGAATTCAGCAGCAAAATACATAGAATAAAATATTCTTACTTATTTTTTTAATTATAAGTATTCTAAGAAATACTTCTTATTCTTAGAATTCTTATAATTAAAAAAATAAGTAAGAATATTATATTCTATGTATTTTGCTGCTGAATTTTTTTCATGGATGGTGATTATCTTAACAAATTTGAATATTATTCAATGATTGATAAACATACATTAGATCTAAAAAATATGAATTATACTTAATTAAAACACATTTTCTTATAATCACACGATGTTGGTTATAATTGATTATGATTGTATACTTGATGAAACATATAATAAAAAATATTGTAGAAAATTGTAACAAAATATAATAATCATAATAATAATAATATTCTTTAATATACATTATTCGTTAATAATATAATAATATAAAATAATATAATTAATCATTCTAGAAGTTATCTTTTTTTTAAAAAGGTACTGTTGAGTTTTTCCCTGGCTTTACTCAGCCACATTCTCATCTCGCAACTGGTAATGGCTTCCTAATCGACATACGTCAATATGAAATTGACGATTCAATAACGCTTGTATAATGACGGCCCATTAAATATTTCTAGGCGAAAAATAACGATAACCTATTGTTGCGTAAGATGGACAAACAAACAAACACATACGTATTTAAATACATATGGTAATTATGGCGAATATGTCGAACAAAAATCAAATGTAAAAATTGTTACTCTATACCTTACCTTATTTTTAACGTTGGGAAATGCATTTACGCACGAGATGTGGGACTCACCGGCAAAGCCAGTACTACCCAACAAAGCCTTCCCCCATCTTAATGGGGCGTCGCAGGATCGCTTACGCATTCAACTACGACGCCCCGACGGCAGGTCTGCTGAAGCAGGTCACAACAACCACGGGGTTGCTCCAAGATCCACTCTGCTATCAGAGAAGTACCAGGAGCAACCCGCATACTACACCGCCCTCCGAAGAGGACCACCTCCCACCGCCCACCGAAGTGGGCCACCTCCCTGTGCGTTTCTTGGCTTCGCGCCCAGCTGTATTGCTGGGCACTACTGTGACCCCCCCCCCCACGACAAGGTGAACGCACGTTGGGGGGGACTCTATACCTTACCTTGACTTGATAGATTCTATAGTTACGATCTCTTTCATGCTTTCTCCATTTTCCGTGACATCGGTGAAGTTTTTTGCCCTAAACTGGCACGCTTTGAAACCAAGACAACAAAATTGAATTGAATTGATTATTTTTTTGATTTGATTGATTATCACAATCTCACATTAACTATCTAATAAAATCAATTTAATATGGAACTACAACTATACTGGCTGTAGTAAAACAAGTTTACGATAGCAGTTCATGGTAATGTTGAATAGAGTAATGTGGCTTGAGTTACGAATGCTAAATCGATAATTTATTTAAAACACAGCGTAATACTTAAGTTTTAATATATTATATACATTTAAAAATTCTAGATTTTCTGTTTTTAGTCGTTGTTCCCAGACAAAACGTCGTAAGACACATTCAATTCTCATTCAAGTCTTTAAAACCAACTTCCTTTATGTTAGAACATCAGTATCAGTTATATTATTATTTTTTCAACCGACTTCAAAAAGCAGGAGGTTCTCAATTCGACTGTATGTTTTTTTATGTTTGTTACCTCAGAACTCCGTCATTTATTAACCGATTTGGACAATTTTTGTTTTGTTTGAAAGGGTATACTTCCAGATTGGTCCCATTTAAATTTCAAAAAAAAAATACCACCCCTAAGGGTGGAAGAACAACTAATGATGAATTTAACCTACATCTAATTGTCATATTGACTTGAAACTTTGCAAGTATTTCTATTTCCGTTGATAGTACAGTGGTTCGGTGTTGTTTACCTGATCTGATGGCAAGGCCAGAAGGTGGATAGGTGGAACTCTTCAACGGCTAATAGTAGATACTTTGAGTTTGGGCTTATTTTGTTTGATTTGACAAGCCAAACACGTTAGAATTCTTACTATGCTACTACTGTCTACACTAAAAAGGGAAAAATAAAAACTTTTTAACAAAAAATAAAAACCGACTTCAGACAAAAGCACTAAAAAGTAAAAAAAAACTGATTGGTAGTTTTCATTTACTATACATACCTAATCAAATATTTTCGAAGTCGGTGTGCTTTGCTTTGTATGGGCTGGCACCGATTTAGCTAAAAAGTATTTATCGTGTACAAAATCGCTTAAAATATTGTGACTTAATAATAATTATATGCAATAAATGATGCGCAAGTATAACATTCAAGAATTGAATTTGATATTTTATAAGATCAATAAAAATGAATTTGATTTTTTTTTAATTTTTTTATATCAATCTTTTTTGTAAAACAAGAACTTCACTATTTTCAAGTTTTCATATTTTTTGTTGTTACTTTATATTTCTTGATATTTCAAAGTAATAACGCTTAGAAGCAGGTATAGTAGCATTTTTTCTCAAATTTGCCACAAAAAAGGCGTAATAGAAAATATACTTTGTTATAAATATTTATAAGTGTGTAAAGTTATTACAATAAAGTATTAGGGAGCTTCTAATTTAGATAAATATGATAAAAGTGTGCATATTGAGTGGGAGAATCTGTGACATCGCATTAAGATTACGATTACTTTTTATCGTGCATTCCATTTATTATTGGAAGTATCAACAATGTTGGTATCAATTAGAATTATAACAAAGTATCAATTGGCCAGCCTGGTGGACTATGGCTTGGTTCCTCTCGCACCCAGCCCAGCAGTGGGACGTTAAAAAGGGCTGATTACATCAACAATGTTATGTATAACAAAGTACAACATAGTCTATGTATACGTAAATACAACACAGATTTTTTATACCTCTACTGTAGTAATATTATAAAAACTTAAAAAAAACTTGATTTGTGCTTCGATTTGTATCGGCTGGCACAGACTTCGAAAATATTTGATTAGGTGTCTAAAGTAAATCATAATTACCGGCCAGTTATTTTTTACTTTTTAGTGCTTTTTTTTGAAGTCGGTTTTTTTAAGTTTTTATTTTTCCCTTTTTAGTGTAGACACATTAGAAGAAAAAAGTATATTTCTACTGTTTCAGTTAGTATGATGCCAATTTTTATATGAAGACTGATAAACTAAAACTCGCTTTTATTAGTAGTAACATTAAAAATTCTGGTTCTAAAATTCGATTCTAGCATATTGGGCTTGTCAAGTCAAACAAAATAAGCCCGAACTCAAAGTATCTATTATTAGCCGTTAAAGAGTTCCACCCACGCACCTTCTGGCCTAACTATCAGATTAGGACAACGATACCGAACCACTGCACTATCAACAGAAATAGAAACACTTGCAAAATTCCAATTCAATATGACAATTAGAAATATGTTAAATTCATCATTAGCTATTTTTCCACCCTTAGTGGTGGTATATTTTTTTAAATTTAAATGGGATCATTCTGGAAGTATACACTTTCAAAAAAAACAAAAATTGTCCAAATCGGTTAATAAATAACGGAGTTCTGAGATAACAAACATAAAAAAATACTGCCCAATTGAGAATCTCCTCCTTTTTGAGGAGGTCGGTTTAAAAAAATGCATAAAATTAAACGTTAACTTGCTGTAATTTTTTCCTGAAGAGATATACGAGTATGTATGGCTAGCGACTTACCCTCGCCTCGCTCGGGTTCGTCTCTAGATAATTTGCACGCACAAAAGCACAGACAACTGTTTTGTCTGTACAAAAAAATATAAATCATCGTCTTGGGTTTTATTGCGTTAACAGAGAGTAGTTTTGTCAAATATCTTCTATGTGCAAACAGTGATCAGTTACAATTTTATTATACGTATAGATAGTTGTCGATATATCAGTCTTTTGATCGACTTCTAAAAAAGTGAAAAAAATCAATTTGTATGCTTTTTTTGTATGTATGTTCACTTTTCGCATGTTGTATGCTGATTTTCATCATTTTATTTTAACTAGTCTTGAGTCCAGAAAAATAGCTTGTCAGGTTTGTGATTATGAAGACGATGTGTTTATATGTACCTGTTAAGTTAAAAATTCACTTAATTATAACGTAGGTATATGTATCTAATATAAACAGTAAATTTCTTTATTTTCTACATTACATTACATTACATACATAAATATTGTGTACTTATGAAAAACAGCTTCCGTGACCGTTCCTAACCAGTAAGTTAAGAAAATTAATTTTCTAAATATGCTACTCTTTTGAACATTATTCATTTTTATTATTCTAGTTTTCGATTTCATCCTACAAATCTACTTAGAAAAATCACATTCATTGTACATCTACTAAGTATGATATCTTAACCTATCAATCTCATATTTCCAGATGCTCGCGATCCTGCTCATCGTATCGAGTGTGGCACTCACAAGCTGTGACGTGTCCCATCTAGACCTAACTACTACTAGCACGGAGTCACCACCACCAGCTCCCTATGCCTTCGCGTACACAGCGGGCAGGTACCCGGGACACATCGATCGGGAGCACGCGGAAGAGAGTGATGGCAGTGGCGTTGTCAAAGGTGAAGGAAACTCTTAATCTATAATAATATTCTCCTGACCGGTTCTGGCCACGACGGCCAATCTCATTGAGACTAGCCAAATGCGCTGGAGATATTATAGTGCACAAGTGTACGCGCAGACACAAGTGCATTCTATTCCTGTCACTCTCATACTCCGATGGGATGACTATTACCACTACTTCTACCATTACCTATTAACACTCCCAACTCCAGGCTGTTACTGAGGCTTACTATACAGGAAGACTCAATAAATAAACTTGGCCCGACCCGGGACTCAAACCCAGGACCTCCGGGTGTGCAGCCGTACATGCTAGCTACTACACCACTGAGCTTAATCTATACATAGTATAAAACAAAGTGGTTGTCTGCGTCTGTATTTTTCTCCGCTTACTTCTTCTAAGCCACGGAACGGATTTTGATAAGGTTTTCACTAATAGAAAAAGCGATAGACAAGGAAGATTTTTGTATATAATTTGTAAATATTTTGTTCAAAATGGCTGAGCCTAGACGGTGTTTGATCAAAATATTTAATATTGATTACACTATCATCTTCTATCATTATACATCAAAACAATGTAATAGATAATTTTATTAAAGTATTAAAATATTACAATTTTTAGTCAACGTCATTAGTCTACCACCAGTTTGGAAAAAAAGCCCCAGATCTAAGAAAAACGGGCAAAAGACTCACGCACAGAAATAAGAATTCTGTATCCTCATCCTACTTTGCAGAAACTATGTTTGATCTCTAAACATCGACTCAAATATTTGCTTAAATTTATCCCAGCTGATATTGGAATTATCTCAAAAAGATTTATTTTCTATAGAATGAGAGACAAATTATGTCATTACAAAAGAGCTAAGCGCTTAAGTAAAGAAACAAGTCACACGCAACAAAAAATCCGATTAAAGCCTAAGTAACCTGAAGACTGGCTGGTAGAAATCAATATCAATAATCCATAAACTAAATATTTATAATTAATCAACAATTATTGTTATTTCCAGGTCACTTCTCATACATAGATCCTCGTCAGAAGGTTCGTACTGTAGAGTATGTGGCGGATAAAGAAGGATTCCACCCATTGTTGAGTGACGTACCGCCGGAGCATCCAGCGGACTCTGAGTCCGTGGCTAGAGCGAAGGACCGTCACTTCGAACTTTATGCCAAAATCGCTGAAGAACACGCACACCATCCTTTCCCTGATGGTATGTTATGTAATTTGTTAACACTGTTATTCAACTACTCTTCCTTATCATGCATTTTATAACTGATTATTGTTTGAAAAAGATTGATAAATGATCCATTCAACAAAAAACCGAAAAAAAATTTAAATTAATATTAATTTTGGCATGGAATGCAAGACGCGCAAGTAAAAACATTTTTTTTAAAACTCTTTCCGTGACAAAATTCCCACCTAACAAGTAAATTGAAAGATACAAAACATTTAGTAATAAACTCTTATAAATTATTCTAGAAACATATGTACCTCGTCAGTCGGAAGCCGTAGCGAGAGCAACCGCTAAGCACGCCCAGCTGTTCAGAGTGATAGCAGAACAACACGCCAGAATAGCTGCTGAAAGAGAAGCTTTACAACGCGAAGAAGAAGAAAGACAACACCTGCAAGACCTGGCAGAGTAGACGGAGTTACTGCTAATTTTTAAACTTAACGTAACCTTCAAGCTTAGGCACTTGTTTGAACTATGTTGAGTACTGTATAGTTGGAAGTAGCATCAGCATATCTTAATTACTTTTCCTAAGTCGGTACTTTTTTATAAGAACATATGTAAATATCAAATGTATTTAACTAAAAAGAATATACTGTAATATATTTACATTGAAGTACTTCATGCCATTTTAGAATTTGCTTCGCTCGGCTTCGTCCCTAGCTTGCTTCTCAATACAAACTTCCATCCCCATTTTAATCAAAAATCCCTTAAGGGATGATTTCCAGGATAAAACGTATCCTTTGTCCTTCCCAGGGTATCAAATTATCTTCTTACCAAATTTCATATAAATCGGTTCAGTAAATCCAGAGATTACCTCCTACAACCTCACAAACTTCACCTCTTTATAATATTAAGTATAGAAAAAAGGTGGAGGTTATATATTAAAAAAAACTCTGATAATTAATTAACATAAGACTCACAGTCTAAATCAATGGGTGTGGAACAAGCTATTGCACTGGAGTTCCATAGGTATATAAAGCAGGTGGGAAAACAAATAAGATGGTTGACAATCGATCCTAATTAGATGTTAGAGGATGAGATGTTTGAAATTGTTAATTTTCAGATTTGAAAGTGATGTGAATGGACCATAATATCTTCCGTCAGAAATTTATTAATTATACATTTTTATAATTAATAAATTGCTGATTATATTTTATAATTAGGTACGTAATTGACACATACCTATGCTGATGCTACTTCTGTCATGTGCTACCCAAGAATTTACTTTTAACTTTATTTTTAATTTTTACATCAGCTTCAAGTGACGTACGTACTATTAATAATAGCTTAACATACCACTGATGAAAAATTAAAGATAACATTAGATCAAATATCTAGTGAAATATTGTGCTAAAAATTGTTAAAAGTACACACATTATAAATAATTAAAAATACTTAATAATATATGAACAAATGTTGAAAGAAACAGTTAATACAACTCATGCACACCAAAAAAGTGTACAAATTTTGTGTAAAAAATGTCCCAACTACGTATACATTTTACATATTATATGACTTTTTTTATATATACATAATATGAATAATCTCATTTTTATACTGCACTCAATCAAGAAACGAAAATAATAAAAATTGTTTCATTTTTGTCGATGCCAATCATATAATTAATCTTTACCATGTCTTTTGTAATTTTATACATTTCATACGACGCCATATTGAAATTAATTAAAACTTTATACAAATCAGCTCTCTTTGTATTTTTTTTTATGTTTTCCTTATTTTTATAAATTATTTTAATAAAATGACGAATAACTGTATACAGTATGTAATTTTACGTGTAGGTATGTATTCAGCCACTTTCAAATGTCTCACTGCTGGGCACGGGTACCTTCAATACGAGTGGGGATCAGGCCATAGTCTACCACGCTGGCCAAGTGCGGGCTGGCGAACTTCATGTCTTTCGAAAACTTGCTAGTTTCCCTCAGACATGCAAGTTTCCTCACAATATTTTCCTTCACCATAAGACAAGTGGTGATCATATTGTAAATAATTCGCACATGAAAATATCAGAGGTGCGAGACCCGGGATTTGCACCCACTTCACTCGGTTTCCCAAGCGAGCGCGTTACCACTGGGCTACTACTGCCGTATAGAATATATAAAATGTTTGTCTGATTTTTTTAGGTTATTTCACGTAATATTTTGTCCAACAATGAATTTTAATTTCCATAAATTGTTTTTTTTTTACAAATTACATAAGAGAAAGCAGAGGAGATGTAATAATTCACATAATATACTCAGACTAAAGAATTACCGTGGCTGAAGCCGTACTAGACCTGCAACATATGTTGCAAAGTTTAGCTGGTTCTTCAGAACACTTCATGTTTAATGTACATGTAATACCGGGACCGACTGCTCTTAATGAAACAACTGTTGAAGTAGTACAAGACTACACCTACCTTGCTGGACAATTACAAGGACAATTACCTTGCAAGTCAATAAAAACTATTTGAAGAAAGAAGCTCAAAGAAAAATACAGCTGGGCTGGGCAGCATGCAATTTTTCATCGCCAATACCGCAAAGCTTAAAGACATAAGTCTCTGGAAATTAAAATGGTATAGCGATTGTATGGTTCTTTAATTAAAAAATATATAGTGATGAATTAATTTATTAGTGCTTTAAAACGCCAATTAACCGTAGAGTCCATAGTTGTCTTTGTTTCTCATTTAACGGCTTGTGCTGTCTGTAAAGAAAATAATTTAATTTATAATATGTGGGTTTTTATAGCGTGTAAGTGTCAGTCGTATATATATTAGTTTCTCTATTTTGGGATGATATGGTTATTGAACCGATTTTAATAAGACTTTTTCTTAATAACAATAATTCAGCCCTTTTAACATACATTTGACCTTAATGCAAGGGCGTTCAAGCCATATCCCATCACTTTAAATAAATGAGGTTTGGCGGATTTCACGTGTCTTTTGGAAACTTGCTAGTTTCTCTCAATATGCAGGTTCCACTACGACATTTTCCTACACCGCGCCGTAAGGCCAGTGTTAATAATTATCATGCTGAAAATGATCCACAAATGAAAACGAGATCTTCTCGTGACCTGTAATCAAGAATCTGTACACCGAAGGAATAAAAATAATGCCAAAGCTTGTTAGAACAATTCATATTTTTTTGCTTATTAGAATATCAAAAATATATTTTATAGTGTAATATGAAATATTACATATTTATTTATATCATATGGTATATTTTTTCTTCTAATATACCCTATGGAATATTCACACCCCTTCCATCTTACTCTCAGTAAACATTTTGCAGTTTCCTACATTTAAAGACTGCCTGGAATAGGTCGCTGTTTAGCTACAAAGCCTCCAACCTTTTTTCCAACCTCTGCATATTATTTTTTCTTTTTCACTAATTAGCAAGAGTTTTACTTATTGACATAAAATATGTACAGCACAATTAAAACTTACTGGTCGGGGGTGGTGGTGGTGGGCCTCCACCTAAGCAGCCAGCTGATTCACGATTTCCTTTGATCCCTCCTTTATTGCCAGTGCTCATTCCAGTCTAGAAAACCAAATTAAAAAATTAAAATATCAATCTTACAGTCACATTCAACAACAGAACTTTTGTTATTATTAACACTAAGTTAAATATTTATAAAGCGAAAACTAAAGTTAGCTAAACAAATATTTTTATCAACACTTCAATTAATACTGTCTACCAACTCTACGAGGCATATGGTTAAAAATATACAAGTCAAAGTGTAAAATTCATTTAATATTTATTCGTTATTTAGGTCAAGTGTGGGTAAAAACCCTGCTGGGATTACATGGATACAGTTTTTCAACACTATGGTTACTAGCCCTATGTAAATTTATTATTTAAAAATTAAAATACCAAAGAAGTAAGTTTTCTATAAAAGTATGTATTCAGCCCCTTTTAACGTTCTACTGCTGGGGGTAACCTCCCTTCAATACGAGAGGGATCAGGCCATAGTCTACCACGTTGGCCAAGTGCGCGTTGGCGGACTACACAATAGACATGTCTTTCGAAAACTTACTAAGTTCTCTCAAATATGCAGGTTTGTTTAAATTTGCAGGACAAGTGGTAGTCATGTTGGAAATGATTTACACATGAAAATATCAGAGGTTTATATTTGTTATGTTTGTATTTCACTCGGTTTCCCAAACGTTACCACTGAGCTACCACTGCTTATGCTATAAAAGTACCTAAAGATTCATTTTCTTAACAATTCATATAAAAAATTACAAGGATCTTAAGAATTAATAAAATGTTGAAATAAAAACAAAACGTACCACAGCTGCAAAAGCAATAGCCATAACGACCAGAAACAACGCTAGAAACTTCATTTTAAACTCTTCAAAATCTAATATTAATTCAGATTTCACATAGCCTTATATACTTTGTTGAACAAAACGTAGCCCTCCTGACTCCTCCATACTCTGATAAAACAAAACAGTAGTACAGAAAAATAGCTCATATATAAATATAATATAGTCGTTAATCGAGTGAAAAATAAATCTAAACATATTAAATAATTTTATGAAGCGATAGACCGACGATAAAGCTGAACGTTATTATATACAGATGCGGTGATTTGTAAAATAAATAATATAAATTGCTTTATAATTTTATATGATTTGACTGAAAATGAAGTCATACAATTGTTAAGTAAATACTAGTTGTAGTTCATTATGATTGAACAGTATATTTTAAGGGGGCTGGTGACGTTAACGTTTAAAATAAACCTCCTTCTGGCGCAGTCGAGTAAAAACGGCGGATTTAGACTTTTGGTTCTCCACGTTTTGAAGTCTTTACAGCAATCATGGTCATGGTCACAAGACTCTCTCAAAAATCTAAAAAAAGCCGCGAAATAATCCGAAAGGAAATCTTTATTTAACATAGCGCCTCACCCTCGCTTCGCTTCGGGTTCGTCCTTAGTGAAAAAGAAAAACAAATCTATCTAACGGGGACCGTATAATTTTCCGGAATAAAAAGTAAACTATATCCTATTCCAGACTACAATCTATCTCTGGGTCAAATTTCATCCAGATCCGTTCAGCTAGAACTAAGCTAACCTTACCTAGCATACTAGAACGTATGATTGCGATTCTAGCAAATAAACAATATCGCAGTATATTTTTAGCATTTTGTTCTTTTATTACAAAAATAGCGAATAAACGACATAGCACTAAGACTTAGAAAAAAAAAAGTGCTATATCCATTACAATGTAAAATAATATAAGTATGAAAATTGTAAATCCACCATAACAACATTATGATGGTATTGTACATGAAATTTAAGTATAAAAGTAAAATGTTAGAGATAGAACTAAGTAAGTATATGTAATAGAAATAAGGAATATGTAATAAGTTATAAAAATAACAAATACTAGTAATAATAAGATAAATCATA